CCCACATGAAAAAATACTATAGTAATTTATAATAAATACTATAGTGTTTTTCAACCATACTATAGTAAATTACTTGAATTAATTTGTTGTGGTAATTCTATAGATGCTGTGGTAATATAACAACTATAGTAATATAAACAAATTACTTTACCCAATACTGTACTAAGTTTATATTTTATATTATACTACAATACACTACAGTTTACTGTAGGAAAAACTAAAGTATACTACAGTATTTGTTACAGTTTATCAGTTCACTATACAACAGTATGCTGTAGCGTTCATTAAAAAGTGTTGTAAATACTATAATATATACAGTATAATGCACTTTACTATAGTATGGTTCAAAAACACTACAGTATTTACTATAAATTACTATCATACTTTTTCATGTGGGGCAGACGATATATATCGCACACCCCTACAGACACACTTTCTTACAAAAAAGATATGGATTTCATAGCATTTTTGCTTTCGACAACCATTTGTAAGATGGGATTCAATCCCTTAATAACAGAAAAAACTGCCACAAAGACATGATTCTTATCTTCCTCTGAGCCAGGTTACAACAATTTGTTCAATTCTCAGCCAATTTTCACAAGACAACATTTTATGCCTAATTTTGATTTCAATTTTAGAATTATGGCCAATGACAAGAAAATGCAAACATGACGTTTTCTGATACATCTGTAGGTGATTTATGGTTTTACTACATGCAAACAATGACAGAAAATTACAGAATTTTGTATTTATATTAGGTCCTTTGACATTAAATGGAGTATTTGAATACTCCTTTGCAGATTGTAAGTTAAATGATACATTTTGAATACTTTTTGTAACTTTTGACATTTGACTGCATACTTTGGTTAATTTGATAAATGCATTAAAGCTGATACATATGTAATTGTTGTACATTATGGAAAGTTCTAATATTTTTGAACTCAGCAATATCAAATTAGGTCATACTAGGCCTTTTTTGCAAATCAGCACAATTTTGTTATAGCTTTGTTATACTCTACATATCATAAGCATACTCCATTGATATACAGTGGCATTACTGAGCACAGAATTTCCCTTTTTTGTGTTAACCAGTTGCAGTGAAATGTATGGAAGGCATGACTACTGTTCTCTAAGAGAAACTTTAGCACAATGTAAATAATTAAAGTATAAGAAAACTATACTTGATGATCTCATTCAGCTGTCCAGATCCTTCACTTCCAAAGTTCTCCAGATGGTCATTAAATTCTTCACAGAGATGAACAGAGAGCATTGCTGTGTTGCCCGGAGTCAGTCTGCCTTTGATTACGGTGGCACAGGTTGGATGGGTTTTATAGAAACAGTCTTTGCTGATAGAAGCTGGACAGGAACCCAAGGTTAACATTATCACATTATCACAGACTATAATACTGATGACGTACAATCATCAGTAGTATTGAAAGGAAGTCAAGGACAGTCATAAATCATCTCATCGAGTTCAGAGTCTAAGGTCATGTATAAGAGCTTTAGAAATCGATTATAAATCTAAACATTTACCTCGAGTATTATACTGTACCTGTGTTGTGAACAGCTTCTTGCACTGCTTGTTCAAAATCAACATCTTTGGAGGTGAAGAAAGCTCGGAAATCCTCATTTAGGGTCACAAATGTCAGTCTTTTCCCAGCAGCTACAACAGTGAAAACTGGGCCATACTAGAAGAACAAACACACTATTATACTTTTAGAAATGAAGCTATATTATTTCTATTTTATACAAATGATTAAATCTTATATTAAGATGCAAATTAAGTGAAAAAAATACAGCACAAAAACAGGCAATTAAATATATTTATTCAGTGACCCCCCAGGGAACCTTAAAAAACTTGAAAGCACTCTTTTTGTGTGATTTCTTGCCTTGGCAGAAGCAATTACTGAATTTTATAGAGTAGTTGTCTATTCAGCAAACCTCTCATTATCTCCCATGCTTTCAGAGAACTGGCACAAGTGGTGCCCAGAACACAAATTGTGTCAGAAAGGGCCACTGTGTGCAGCTTCTGTCCTAGTTGCATAAATTAGTGGTGCTGAACTGAACTGTCTTCAAACTCGGTTAGTATGGCACAGCACAAAAACAAAACACGTCAACATCGGCCACAGGGCTCCAGCACAGCATCTGGGTACATTTTTTGTAGTTGCTAATGAAAGTATTGAAAGTATAAACAGCCAGCCATCATAATAAATAAATAAATAAATAAACAAGCATGGTAAAGCAAAGATGTGTAGTTAAGATACAAAGTCTGATGGCAAATATTCTAATATTGTTTAAAATAATTATAGTCACAATAATGTGCTGCTCATTTAAGGAGAACGTGTAAAATATAGAATTATATTGACAAACTGTTACTTTAAAAAACTGCTCTAAAAATCAAAATGATCACACTGCACTTTTACATTTTTGTACAGTAGGTGAGTGCAACAGGTTCGTCAAAATTCGCAGGGGAGGAGCTGGACTTCTGGACCCATTGCCAAACCAACCCTGTATGATTTATGCCAAAAACTGTTATCAACCTTTTAAATACATTTTTACATATTTAATTTACATAACAAATGTTCTGGAGACAAATGTTGAATCAAATGTCTGAAATCCCACTGCACTGTCATTTGCATAAATAAAAAATATATGCAAATATTATAGCTATGAAAAAATCTATATGCCTATGCAAATCATCTAGAGTGACGATACAGTTATGATTCTTTATTCAAGTAATTTCCCAGTGGACAAACTTACTTTGGCTCTGGCTTGCTGAATGAAATGCAAAGGTGCTTTGCCAAATTCAAAAGCAGCACCAAACCAAGGTATCCAACCTCTTACGCATGGAGGAGCATTGGGATGACTTCTTTTGCCAAAGAGAAGATGAAAAGAAATAATCACAATAGATACAGTCAAAATTAAAGTAATCCATTCCATCGCAACCTAGAGTTCAGTGATGCTCGTCTGGAGCGCATATGATGAGTCTGTGTCAAAAGGTCCTGTTAACATATCTGATTACACTGATCAGCGGTCACGTATCAGATCGGATTTCCTCATTGCGAATGATCTGAGCCATGAAACTAAATCCTCCCACCACACCGCTAACTCCTCCCACTATGAACAACCCCGTGTGACTTCATAACACTAACCCCTGCTATTAAAGCTTTAGCTCCTCCTACCACAACGCTAACCGCGCCCACTATCTTCACACCCAGCTCACGCCATAACATAACCCCTCTACTATATCCCTGTCCTTATCTAGATAGCCAGGTGTTGCAGGCGCTGCTAACTCAGCAGTTCATTCAAACTTAAACAGTTAAAAAATCATTAAGCAGAATGAATAAAGAAGAGTTAAATATATCAAATTTGGTGGTTCAACACGTAAGTAAATTTTGTCGTGAGCCTATTGATCCAATAATATCTGAGACGCTGAAGCAAGTAAGTTTTCTTTAACAGTGTCAAGAAACTTTATATATAATAAGTATATCTTAAATTGAAATTAAAATTAAAGTATGGTATTAAAATTTCTAGAATCTGCTACAGAATAAAATATATAGTATACAGACTTTGGAAACGTTTTCATACCAAAGTACATTTTGGCGCAATCTAAGATACAGTAATTAAAAAATAATAGAATTAAATAATATAGATAAAATAAAATAAATAAAAAATAGTAAATCGCTTTCAATTCAATGTAATATTAGATTTCAGTTTTTATTACCAATATATTTAAGAGAGCCAAAAAACAAAACGAATTGAATTAAAACACGGATTAGATGAGCTAAATTTGCTTTTACATGTATGAAACAGCAGATTTTACAAACACGCCAGCTGACGGCACATCTGTGACGCCACACTCCATCCGGGTCCTCCGCGCCTGGGCCATGACGTCACAGGGTCCAGGAATGGCGGCGCTGTCTGCAGAGAGAAGCAGCCCAAAGAGCCAGAAACTTTATTCCTAACATCGCTCAGCGGCTACACGAGTCCCACCGCTGCACCGACGGCCATATCCTCCTCTTAAAGAGCCAGCGCGAGGGCGGAACCCAGTCTCAACGCTGTTACCGCTGAATTCCGACGTCCCAGGCTCTATTAGTTTGCTTGACTTTGCGAGGGCCAAAAGACAAGAGCAAAGACAGCGACTAACGGTACATAAAACAACAACAAGCGCCCCGAAACACGCTCTTTCGAGTCCGTCCCTTTCATAGAAGGATCTTACTTCTGTTTTGCTAGTTTCTTGTCTTGCTCATACACCGAAAGGCACGACACTGGCCTGATAAGGTGAAGCCACCAGCTGCGGGTTTGATGCCACGATGGAGAGTTTAACACTGAGCGATGTCGAGCAGAAATATTACTCTGAACTCTTCCTTTCCTGTGATGTGGATAACACCAAGAAAGTGGCTTCCAATGGCAAAGTTCTGGACCTCTTCCGGGCGGCCCAGCTCTCAAACGAAGTGGTCCATCAGGTACAGTATGCATCTGATTCAGATGTGTGTGTATTAGTCAGCAGATCTGTGTTGTTATGCTTATACACTTCGGTAAGTTGAACTGGTGGCTCGAGTTCATCGTTCCAGACATGCTAATAGCTCTAATGGATCATTTGGGCGATGTCAAGAGTGTTTAGACCGATCTGATGAATGAATCTCATTGTTGCTGAGTTGCACAGATGAAGGGTGATGCATCTGGAGGGTTAAACTTTGTTTCCTGTGTTGTGCAAGTCTGTAGAATTATTAGTTGCGCCTGCTTCCTCTTAAATATCAGCATAAATAGTCATTTTCTGTTTTTGTCACGAGATCCATAAAATTGATGACTCTTGAAACGTGATTTTCTCACTTATCAAAGCATTAATGCAAGGAAGAAGGTTTGGGGTTATGCACAATGTGTGACCCTTTATTTTTGGAATGAGTCAAAACAGTCTGTTGAATTTATTAACTATATTTCAACTGATCATAACTTGTTAATAATATTTGATTTCATTCTATTCTGATTGTTTTGTACTAGGGTTGGGCGATGTTTACAAACTTGGCATCGGACGATGTCTACAGTGAAACATCGTGATGGACGATGACATCGGTGGGGAGAGGGGTGGGGTGGAGTTAGGGGGTGTGCCCGAAGCGTGAATCCTTATAAGGGAAAACAGGATTCCTAACACAGTGTCTACACCAGACGCGAGCGGCGGGACAAAATACTATAGAACCACTGATCTATCATAGAGATGTATTATATACAGATCAGTCTATAGAACTCATTATAATCAGTGATGCTGTCTACACTGGATGCGTCGTCAGTGAACAACGGCTCTGTGTAGTTAATGCTGCTCAATGTGAAAGCACGCACGTGATGAAGATTTACCGCTGATTACAGAACCGGCTTTACTGACAAGATGCGCGTTAAATATCGCATGCGATTTATCGTGCAGCCCTATTTCAAATGATTTTCAACGGTTGCTTTGACGCGTCCAGTTAGTGTAGACAGACTTTAGCTGATGCGGCGCGTCACGACAACTGTCGCGTCTGGTGTAGACACGGTGTAATGGTTGCCTGTTACATTACAGTACATAAAATTTCACTTACCACATAAACAGAGTAAGGAGAGATGACTGAGGTAGGGGGTGTGCCCGAAGCGTGAATCCTTATAAGGGAAAACAGGATTCCTAACACAGTGTCTACACCAGACGCGAGCGGCGTGACAAAATACTATAGAACCACTGATCTATCATAGAGATGTATTATATACAGATCAGTCTATAGAACTCATTATAATCAGTGATGCTGTCTACACTGGATGCGGCGTGGCGCGACACGACAAATCCCCGACAGTACACTGCTGCCGCGTTCTATTTATGATGTGCTGACACAAATTTCAAATTAGGGCTGCACGATAACCATCGGCGATGGATGATGGCATCGTCTATCGGCCCAACCCTATTTTGTACTGTCAAGCATCTTTTTGGAGGTTGCTGGTTTTTGAAGTGTCATAGAGTGGTGTTTGTTTCTTCACTGATGATTGGTGCTGATTAACACTCATCTGTTGCTACACTCAGCACTGTTAGAGCATAACAAGTTTAAAAAAAACTTGTGGTCTTCATAGTCTATTTGCTTCTAGGTTTGTGGCCTGAGTTTAGTGAAGGGGTGTGTCCATGAGTTGCTAGTGACAACTGGCCGTCTTTTTATTGTGTTGATCATGTCTGAGCAACAGATTTATTGATCTGTAATACTGAAGTAATTGACAGGGGTCATCAAGGGCATTTCATTGAAGGTTTACATGTGTGAAATTACAAAGTTTTTTACGTGTTGTTTCTTTACTAATGAATTTTTAATGTTTTACCAGGCTGATTAACAGCTATGTATATTAACTATTATTAGTTTTCCGGGTTGAAGTGAGTTGTAATATGTATACTGCCATTATATTGGCGATTGACCTAAGTGTTGTCTAATTCAAGAGACCCATGGTGGATAGAGAGATTGAGACCCCTTGTTACATATTGTACAAAAATGAAGTGTTGCATTCTATGCCTGGCCTATAATATCATCTGTGTAACACCATATTATTGTATTTACATACACTACTGTCAAAAAGCTATTTCAAACAGCTTCTGTTCTTTTTATCAGAGAATCCTGAAATGTATTGCGCAGCACAAGTGTTTTCAAAACTGATAATAATAGGGAATGTTTTTTGAGCAGCAAATCAGCATATTAGAATGGTTTCTGTAGGATCATGTTACACTGATGGGATGGCTTCTAAAAATTCAGCTTTGTTGTCAAAGGAATAAATTACTTTTTAAAATTAATAAAAAAAACAACAGTTATTTAAAATTTAAATTGTCACTGTTTTTTTTTTTTCTCTATTTGAAAATAAATGCAGACTTGCTGAGCTGACTTTTGAACTTTTTGAGCTTATGTTGCAATGTATGTGTGTGTATATACATGCATACATTTATTTATTTATTATTGGTGTACATAGTCATATACTTTTACATTATATTCTAATTTTACTTATAATACATATCAATTTGAGAGGGACAATTTTACCTTTAGCTGATTTAAATAAAAAAAATAAAAAACTAGTTTGAGATCAAATAATTGGCAGACAGTTTCACTGTTCATTAAACGTTCTTTCAGTTGTCTCAAATCCAGCTTAGTGCTTTTTATTATGTGTGTGTGTGTGTGTGTGCACGCGTTTGTTTGTTTGTTTGTTTGTTTAAACAGGCTTTAACTTTATTAACCTATAATCACTTCTGGTCATGCTATTGTATGTTCACCTGTGTTCTATGTTAAGGTCAGTTTATCTGATTGATAGTTCTGTTTCCATTGTTCTAGATTACTGAACTTTGCGGGGCCACGCGCCTCGGTCATTTCGGTCGGAGTCAGTTCTACATTGCACTGAAGCTCATTGCACTGGCCCAGTCTGGACTGCCCCTGCGTGTGGAGAGCCTGAACAGTGGTGGGTAGCAACAAACATTCTTAAACCCTTTTATAGCTGTTTCTGCATGTGTGTACCATATGCACCAAATCAGTATGCTCAATATGCAATATGCTCTTCAGTATCACATCCTTGTAATTTTGTAGATGCCCATTTTACAAATGAATCCATTGTGGCAGTTACAGCCCATTACATAACAAGAATTAGACGATAATCATTCTGCCTCTTTGATGAAAAGGACTGAATGTGTATATTGCAAACACAAGAGCCATTTTTAATTCTGGTATTTAGGTTTGAGTCCTGGAATAGTATGTTGTACATTTAAATTGCTTGTTTGTTTTTTTCTGTTGTATTTGTATATTTCTGTGAAATGTTTGTATGTGCCTTTAAGCCAAATGCAAATGCTCCTGTTTGTTTATTGACTATCATGGCTGTTCTCTATATAAACCCAGTCCCTGACAGGAAGCCCTGTGCAAAAGCACTACATGCATTTTGGGAAGTTAGACACAAGGCCTTGTAAAAGAATGAGACATTGACAGTGGTATAAATAAGCAGGAAATAAGACCCGGCTCATAGCCTTGAAAATACTGCAAGAACACGTAGACACAGTCAACAGGAAATAGCTGACAGTACCCTGAAGTTTATATAGGCCTTGGATAAACTTGGTTTCTATTGATTTCTGTTCCATTTATTTTAAAATTAGTAATGAAAGTTTTCGACCTCGGTAGTCAGGGGTTTTGATTCATTTTCTGATCAAGTTAAGCAAATAATATCAGTTTGTTGACAGTAGTTGTGTATTAAATCTGTCTCTGAATGCAAAAGTCTAATGTGGAGTTGTGTTTGCAGTCAGGGATCTGCCCCTCCCTCGCTTTGTGATGGGCAAGAACGAGCAGGAGATGAGGCACGCAGTCATGTTCGCAGACACAGAGAACCAGGGACCCTATTTCCCCAGACCTCCAGGTCGAGTGCAAGCCAAAAAAGTGTCAGCGCATGAGATGATTCAGCCCTGTGTGCCCACTGTAGATCCACAGGTACTACAGAATATATTCCATATGCTATTATTGAATATGAGTGGAAATATGAAATCAGTGCATTAGGCCTTGTAAATGTAGCTAGCTAGATCTGTCACTGTCTATTATGTAGTGCACATTACATATTTATTATATAACAATATTGACAAAAAAGTGAAAAATCAGTAATCACTTTTTAATTTAATTCTCATTTATTACTGTTCGTTCACTTGAATAATTATTTGAATATATGTATCTGAATATACATTGAGATACGGGGGTTACTTTTTAGGCTAATATGCCATATGCCATTATTTTAAGAAAATAAATGTATGATAATATTTAACTTATTAACTTTTAACTTAAAACATTGTTTAAATAAACAGGTGTGTTCACAGTAGTGTATTTGTTTTTTGAATATTAAATGGGTATCGCCAACTGTGGAAAGCACATAAGTTTAATAATATTTTATATTGTATTTTTTCATATTTAATATTTATTTTTTGTCATGATTTTAGTTTTCAGTCTTTGATGCCGAGTTCACACTGCACGATTTTAGCCCGATTTTTCACTCGCCGACAGGTTTTGCGAAATCGCCGACAAATGCCCGCAATCGGAGGCAAATCGGTGCTCGTTCATGCGAGTGACAATCACGCAGTGTGAATTATCAAAGACGTGATCTGAGGGAGTCGCCGACGCCCGCAAAATATTTGGCATGCTAAATATCTGGATCTGTCAGCGATTCACAATCACGCTCTGTGCAATGATTTCTGACTGAAAACTACATTGGCGATGACTTACAGCCAATGAGAGACCAAGATACGGGGCAGAGGGAAGTTTGGGGAGTTATAGACCAGAATATCAGTATTTTAATAGATATATGAACTTTTTTTAATTTTTTTATTATTGTATAGGTTATTTGTTACCATCTGGGGTGTTGTGTGGTAGTGATCTGATAACTGAAGAGTTCCATGAACTCTTTGTGCCAAGGCAGTTAACTCCAAGATGCTTCATAGAGTCTCTGTATTAAGTGTACTGTTTTGCATCTGTAAAATGGCTATTTGTTTACTTCAGCATGTATCTCTGCTGTTCCAAAGCCATCTGTTTTGCTGGAAGTCTGTAAAGTTACTAAGTAATTAATTTTGTTTATCTCTGGCTCCAGCCGGACACCACATCTCCTGTAGTGTCACCGCACCAGTCCCCTCCCACTTCGCCCCATGCCTGGAGGAAGCACAAACGCCAGGCCAGCGGTGGAAACGTCGACAGACAGCCCTCAGTGCCAGGAGTTGTTTGGCCACATTTTAGAGAAGCACAGCCAGGTACTCAATGTTTAATAATACAGTCATGTACATTGTTTAGGTCACACAATAACCCTACTAACATTAACAAACAGTATATTATATTATATTATATTATATTATTTAAGTATTATAATGCAATATTTAATGTAGTAATTATTAATTAATTAAAGTGATTATAAAATAGGCAATTCTAACTTAAAGATCAGTTATACTTACAGAACTTTGATATTAAATGCCACATGATGTACTGGATTCTTCCTAAATTTTCAAGATGTGTAGTTTCTTAAATTGATTCATTCTTATCCTTTTTTTTTTTTTTTACTGTGTGTCTGTTTCTCTTTCTTTCCTCTCTCTCTTTTTCTGTGTCTTGCCTAAGGACCAGTTACAGGTGATGGGATGTGGTCCGCCCATTCACCCCCTCCTGTCCAGGAAAGTTGGGTCAGCTTTACAGACACGCCCCCCTCCAGCACACTTCCAATGCATCCCCCATCAGCTCAGGTAATGCAATGCAGGCCTCCATGTATACGTTTGTTAGGTATACAACATGATCTGTCACCACTAGACTGCTGTAACCAAGGCTTCTGTGGCAGAACAGATG